GAGCCACAACATTTTCATCAACCAGTCAAAATGTAACATTGTTTTATGTATGTTTCTGTTTAAAGACATCTATTTAATATGTCTTGTTGGTTCATTCACATTGAACTCATGGCCAACAGCACTATGACTCACACCTGAATGAAGTTCATCTGACACACGTAATTTTATTCACAAGACACATCACAGCTGCCTTGTTCTCAGGGACACTAGACAGTACTTCAGGGGTTTGGCGATGTATTTAGGGGCCATGTTAAACAGCAAAATCACCAAAAGCACAAAACTGCAAAAAAAAATGGGACACTAAATAGACCACAAAAACAGTACGTGTTTTATAATAAGAAAGCCGAAACAGGAAAGCAGAGGTTGCCTTGTTCATCCTTAGCTGGGAACATGCACCTCTGCTGACAAGAAATTTCAGGTCCATGAATGAATGATTTGGAGGTTACAGGTAAATTTTAGCAGGTTAATCAGCAAACATAGAATCTACAAATAATGAGTGTGTGTGTACTCACAGTAGACAGAACGCTCCGTGAAGACATGAATATTGCTAATATGGCTTTAGAAAGAAAATTAGCTCTCTGTGGATACTCAACAGATCCTGAAGAATCAGTAATTTTTGATCCAACATTAGGAGATCAAAGACATTTATTCAAAGCCCTGTTTCTCTCTGGAGGTGTTAATAAATTAAAATCATTTAACCTCAGTCTCTAGCCTAGCTAAAGGGCTTTGCATACATGATGCTTAACTTTGTGAAATAACAGTTTTATCCAAAATACAGAGTTCAAAAACCAGACACCTTATTGCCATCCATCCAGTTTTCAAGGCTTAGAAAACCAATTGCTCAGGGTTGGGGTTTTGCAGCCATTCCTTATGGAAACTCAGGATTCAGGTCTTTGTGAGATCATACTTAATTAGCACCCCAATTTTCCCTTCCACTATCTAATTCTTCCTCAGCCCATTCTGGAAGAAGCAAATACCATTCCTTCCATATTTTAAATAAACTTATGTCACTTTATACCGAGCATAGATTTCTCTTTCCATAATTTTAATATTATTTTTCTTACTGCTCAGGGAAGAGGAATAATAATTGGCCATTCATTCACTTTTTTAATAAAAATCATTTAAGAAATGATGATTGAGTGACCACCATGTCCTAGGTCAACATCATGCTCTCCGTGAGACTCCAACGTCTACTTAAATGTTACCCAGCCAGCTCTCTGATGGATCTAATAATCTTAATGCACATTTCCTGAACTTTTGATCACCTTCATGTTTATCTTCTAGTATCTTCTTTCTTGTTCTAAAGAGCTTCTTTTGGTTCAAAAGCCCAGAACTGAAGCCAAGAAATATCTGACCAATGTAGGTAAAAGCAACAAACAGCAACAGAAAGCCTCTTGGGATTTGCAACAGATAAAGTTTAAGTTTTTCTAAATATAAAATGAGTGGATTTTATGGTCCCAAAGTATTTAAAATAGTTAGGGAGCCTCTAATCCCAGCACCCAGAGATAATGCTTTTTACAATCTGTTGACTTTGTCTCCTGTGTATATTATTTTAGTTTAAACTGAAAATTTACACATTTTCTTGCCTTTTCCACTGTCCCATAATTTAAATTATTTATAAATATAATCATATTCTCTTGTATAATGACATCATAATTTAATTAATCATGCCCATGCTGTTAGGCAAATACATTCCTTGCAACTGAACAATATTGCAAAGGATTAGTTTGCTATCCAAGCGAAGCCTTAGTCATTTTTGACAGGGTTAAATATGGCCTGTTATTTCTGACTGGAATACACAGTGTTAAATTTATTCTTGGAGAATATAATACTTTGTGTTTTTTGACTTCCATTTGTGTTTACCAAGGTCATTTCAAATGTATTCCTACTAAAGGCGTGAATTTAGCAATGAAACTTTAAGTGGTTTTATTATAAATAAATGACACTTG